TTGCCCACCAGCTCCTGCAGCAGGCGAGAGGCAGAGGCTGACCCCCGGGCGGACAGCTCCTCGGAGCCCGCCCGCCCCCTCAATCCCAGCGCCACCCCGGGTCCCAGCCCCACCTCTCCGCCTCTCTGGCCGTAAATAACCCGCAGGTTCCCAGGCAAGCCCCCAGCAGCCCTAGGTTCTCAGAGAAACCTGACCGGTTCTAATGGTAGCAACACCCAGCAAAGCATGCAGCAGGCGGCAGGCAGAGAGCTAGCTCAGAGCCCACAGCTGCAGCCCCCAAGGCCTCACAGAGGCCGCCCTGCCCTCCTCTGGGGCCCAGGGGCCTGGCCGACACCCCAGCCCCAGGGCCCGAGCCGTCGCTAGACGTGCACCTGAGTTAGGGTCCCCGCGAAGCGAGGGGCACTGACCTCGGCCTCCCCACCCTTGGGGGCTTCTGAAGCAGCCTTGACGGCGGGGGTGGCGGGCTCGGTCCTCCGCGCCCCGGCCTTTGCCTTAGGAGTCCCAGGGGGCAGGGCAGTCTCTGGAGGTGGTTTCGGCACAGGCTCCGCTTTAGCCGGGGACCCTGTCTTCTTTTCCTGGGCACTGCCCGGGGTCCTGCTGGGCTCAGAAGCCCTGAGGGGCTTTGCTTGGGGGCTGGCCTTGGCGGGCAGAGGGCCTGAGGGCTGGCCCGGCCCCTGGGGCCCTTTCTGCTTCGGAGGGGCTGTTCCGGCCGCGCGGTGAGGGGCCCCGGTGGGGGGCTGCGGCGAGGCGGGCGGGGGGCGGGGGGCTGGCTCCCCCAGGCTGCCCTCCAGCAGTCGCTTCGTTTGGCAGTTCAGACAGAGCCACTCGGATTTCTGTGAGGAGAGGAAGGGAAGTGGGGTCATGGGGACACTGAGCACTCAGAGTATTTCCATGCCCCTCTAACCTGGAGGAGGAGAAAGCCTTCTAAGGCAGGCACCGAGCACGCGGGGAAGACTGGTGGGTGTGTTGCCCCAGATGGCAGACTTTCCCAGGCTTAAAGGCATTCGCAGCCCAGCCGGCGGGGCTTAGGGGTGAGCGTCCACCTATGAGCCAGGAGGTCACAGTTCGATCCCGGGTTGCGGGCTGGATCCCCTGTGGGGGACGTGCAGGAGGCAGCCGATCAAAGGTTCTCTCATCATTGCTGTTCTATCTGCCTCTCCCTCTCCCTTCCTCTCTGAAATCAGTAATTTTTAAAAAGCACGTATTCACAGTTAAAATGATGAAACCAAAAGAAGGGTCCCTTCCTCTCCCCACAGAGAGCTTCCCAGCCAGACAAGGAGATGGAGGGGAGAGGAGGGGAGGGGAGGGGAGGGGAGGTTACGGCACAGGGGTCTGGACAAGAGGGGCATCTGGGCCCCCAGGGAGCAGACAGCCCCTCTGGCTGGTGTGGGGGGGCCCGGGGACCAGCCGGCGCTGAGGGGGATGCCCTCCCTGGGGTCAGGGTGTCAGCAGGCCCCTCTGCTCACACCCACAGAAAGCGCCATGTCAGGGCTCCGTCCTGCGTGCTGCCCAGAGCCACACGCCACATCTCTGCTTCAGTTCTGGCAGCGCCCAGCCAGGCCCTGTGCGCTGAGGGTGAGGCCTGCACACAGGCTTGTTACTCGGGGCCTGGAGACCGTCTCCCTGAGACGGCAGCTCTTCCCTGCCCGAGGCCTGGCCCAGGGCCCAGCTATGGAGGGGACCCTGCAGGGCCCAGCCCGAGGCACCATGTTGGGCTCCCTCACCTGTGATGCTCTGTGCAACCCCCTCCCAACCCCAGCTGCAGCGAGGCGATGGGCGCTGGCCACGTGCTGGGCTGGGCTGCTTGGCCTGGCAGGGTCCACTCCCGCAGGTGCCTGTGGAGAGCGCTGGGCAGGCTGAGCCCACGCCCTGAGAGGGGCAGAGCACCGTCTCAGCTAAGAATCCCACCGCATGCCCAGCACCGCCTGGGCACACAATGAAAATGCGCCCACATCAGAGAGAGTGGTGCAATGGCACCAAGGCCCTTAGAGGTGGACGGGCTGGACAGAGCGTAAGAGAGAGTCCTGGGACTAAATAAGAGCTTCCCCAGCCCCAGGATCAGCAGGGGCTGGGATTTGGGCCCAGAGCAGGGCTGGCGCAAGGCAACACTGCCCTGCTCCACCGAGGGTCCCTGCACATGGCCATCCAGGGCTCACGGCCATCCAGGGCCGGCCTCTCCGGGGAGGCCATCTCCCCGCTCACCCGGGTGGCGTGGCACACCTCTCCCCCTACCTCTGGCCCGCAGACCCCACCCCGAAGCACCAGTCCAGGGGAAGCAAGAGCACCTTGGAAGGTGGCCTGGATGAGGAGGCAGGCGTCTTGCCAGGGGCTCAGAGCCAGCCCCGCAGCGGCCTGCTCACCAGGCCCTCAGCAAAGCCTGGAGCCCGAGGCCCCCTCCAGCCGTGTTCCTGCAGGTATGTTCCTGCCCCTGCTAACACATGGAGGCCGCCCCAGGCGTGTTCCTGCCCCTGTTACACATGGAGGCCCCCCCCAGGCGTGTTCCTGCCCCTGTTACACATGGAGGCCCCCCCCAGGCGTGTTCCTGCCCCTGTTACACATGGAGGCCCCCCCTAGGCGTGTTCCTGCCCCTGCTACACTTGGAGCCCCACCCCCAGGTGTGTTCCTGCCCCTGCTAACACATGGAGGCCCCTATCCAGGCGTGTTCCTGCCCCTGTTACACATGGAGGCCCCCCCTAGGCGTGTTCCTGCCCCTGCTACACTTGGAGCCCCACCCCCAGGTGTGTTCCTGCCCCTGCTAACACATGGAGGCCGCCCCAGGCGTGTTCCTGCCCCTGCTACACATGGAGGCCCCCCCTAGGCGTGTTCCTGTCCCTGCTACACATGGAGCCCCACCCCCAGGCGTGTTCCTGCCCCTGCTAACACATGGAGGCCCCCCCAGGCGTGTTCCTGCCCCTGCTAATACATGGAGGCCCCCCCAGGCATGTTCCTGCCCCTGCTAACACATGGAGGCCCCCCCAGGCGTGTTCCTGCCCCTGCTAATACATGGAGGCCCCCCTCTCCGGGCCCTGCTACTCAGGCAGCGAGGAAGAGAGGGAGGGCTGGCAGGAGGCAGCATGTGAGCTGTGAGCTAAAAATAAACACCGGACCAGCCCTGGGCAGGGGGAAGGGTAGGGGCATGGGGCTGGGAGGGGTGGAGCCAGGAGAGACCTGGCCCCGGGCCAGTCTCTGGGGACTGAGGACAGGGTGAGAGGCAGCAGACAGAACCCCTGTGCCTGGGGGCTGGGACTCAGCTGCTCTCATCTCTCCCTCCACCTGCCCGCCACGCCACACCCCGCCCCTGCTCCTCCATCCCCTTGCTCATTCATTCACTTGTCATTCTCTCCCACAGTCCCCCTCACCCAGCCCTGGCCTCGGGGAGCTGCTGCCGGCTTGACCCTGTCTGTCCTCTGCGGCAAGTAGGCAGGGGGCCATCTGGGACCGGGGAAGGGACCATGGGAGGCGCTGGCGACCATTTCTGCCTTGCCTCCCTCGGCCCAGCTCCTTTCAAGCCGGAAGGTGGGAGCCCGAGGGCGAGTGGCTCTAAAGGTGAGAGGTGGCGTGTGCACACCATCCATGGAGGACGGAGCCTGGAGCCGGCGTCAGGGAAGGGGAGTGAGTTGTCCCAGGTCTGGAGGATGCCCACGGGCTACTGTGTCCGAGGGGGCCGGCTGGGCTGCATGGGAAGCGGGGCTTCCTCCCCGGCATCGTCTGAATGACCCGCAGGCGCAGTCTCCTTATCGGAGGAGCTCGCCCATGTGTCAGCCTGGTGACAGTGACACCGGCCAGACCGATGCCTGTGGCCGCCTGGCCCACAGCCCAGCCCCACTGCCAGGGGCAGAGGATGAGCCCAGCAGAAAGGGTGCCCAGGGCGCGGCTGCTGGTGCTCTGTTCCTCTCGTGCTGTGCCGGCTGCCCTCCCTGTCCCCAGGCATGCGCAAGCCCCTCTTTTCTGGGCTCTGCCTCCCACAGCAGCAATCGCCCCTGAGAGCCGCCACGCGTGCCCCTGAGGCCGGGCTGTGACCCCGTGCTCCGGGACCTAGAGTTCCACCCCCTGGGGGCGTCCCCCGTGAGGCCGGGATCTCGCACTGCACAGGGTGGACTCACAGCAGACCGCCCTGGAGGGTGGGGACCCTCCTGTCCCACCGAGACCCTCTTTCGGACACTCCGCTTGTCCTTAGGCCTCCTGGCTCAGGGCTGACAGTTTGGGCCTCGCGTGAGCATCAGAGGGTGGCATCTCACCTGGTTCCCACAGAACCTGAGAGGGAGCACGCCTGCCCCTCCACAGCGGGGGGGACGCGCGCCCCAAGATCACTGCCCCAGAGGCAGCCGGGGCAGGTCCGGAGCAGAGGCAGCTGCTGGCCTCTCGCCGATGCCCCCGCCGCCCCGTCCCACACATCACAGGCCGGGCCCTTGGCCGAGGGAGGCTGGTGTTTGCAAAATTATGGTCACAAGAACCCGGCCGTGTCACGGCAACCATTCCACCTCCACTCATTTCTTCCCAAACCCTATTTTGAACTGAAAGCCAATTAAAAATTAAGCCAGAGGGTACCATTATCCTTCAACAAGATAAATAGGTGAGAAGTCATTATGAGACGACGCACTAACCGGCACTACGGGCTGTTTTTGTTTTTTGCAGAGGAGACGTCACCAGGAGGAGGGACAGCTTTGCTGCCTCTGTATGTTCTGGGCTCCCTGTCTAGGAAGAGGGTAAAAGACTTTTAAATATATTTTTATTGATTTCAGAGAGGAAGGGAGGGGGACAGAGATAGAAACATCCATGATGAGAATCACTGATTGGCTGCCTCCTGCATGCCCCCCACTGGGGATCGAGCTGGCAACCGGGCATGTGCCCTGACCAGGAATCGAACCGTAACCTCCTGGTTCACAGGTCGACGCTCAACCACGGAGCCACGCCGGCCGGGCTAAAAGGTTTTTGAAGCTCAGAGATGTTGAGGAAAGTTCCCAACCTGACAGCCCGAGCAATTGGTCCCGGCCGCAGGTGGAGCCCCGCAGGGCTAAGAGGCCTGAGGGCAGCAGGCCGTGGGTCCCCGGGCTGCCCTCCCTCACGGTGCACTGACAGCACGGCCCTCCCAGCCTGGCCTCGGCCTTGGCCAAGCGAGGTATGCGGGGACCAGGCAGCCTCCCGCGGCTGGAGAAGCGCCTTCCGGCAGTCTGGGCCCCGTGGAGAAGTCAGGAGCCTCCAACCAAGATCACACCAAGGTCAGGGGACACACCGAATGGCTCCCAATGCCAAGTGGCCATTCGCTGAGTTGAGATCAAAGATAGCCCACCGTCTGGTTAGGGCCTCAGCAAAGAACAAGATTGTCGGGGAGGGGAGAGGGGACTCCAACACCAGCCCCTGGCAAGGCCCAAGGCAGGCAGAGCCGGAGAAGGTGGTGGTCATTGTCTGGGGAGGGAGGGGGAGGGCTGGGCCAGGCGTGGCCGTGAAGACTGAGCGGAGAGGCCGGGACTAGGAGAGTGGGAGAAAGAGCCCGCGAGGTGTGGTCGACGAAGTGGACCTGGTGAGAGAGGGGTGCGGAGGACCCCAGGCCGCCCGCCTGCCTCTCTGATGGCGGGTGGTGGCACGGTTTGCGGTTCCCGTGGCGGGAACCCCAGGGGCGGGCATGGCTGCCCCCATACCTCCCCAGGAGCAGCACGGTCCTCTGGGTGGCGGTATAATAGGCAGAGCCGCGAGGAGGAGGAGGAAGGAAAGCTGGGCCACTGTGACGGCCACGTGCGCAGGAGGCAGGGAGCCGGGCGCGGTGGGAGGAGCCAGGACCAGGATGCCAGGCCCACCGAGGCAGCAGTGCAGCGGCCATGGAGACCTCGGCACGTGAAGGGGGCGCAGGGCAATGTGGCCACTGAGAGGCAGAGGCTCAGGGTCCAGGAGGGCAAAGCCAAGCAGCTGATGAGACCCAGGGTGGCCTGGCCCCAGGGCGTCAGAACGGTGCCCACAGACCGTGGCAACACCACATCCGGCTCCACTGTCCCACCCTCGGCAGCGGGGTGTGCAATCCCCACTCCGTGCATGGCTCAGCCCCCCACATGACAGCAGGGATGGGCCAATTACAGACCCACAGAGGGGGACACAGGCTGTTATGTCCAGGGCAGCCGAGCAGCCCCCAGGGGTCCTGAGCAGGGAGAGTGGGTCCGGGGAGCGTCAGAAGCAGCTCCACCAGGGTCTCCGCACCATCTGAGCCTCCCAGGCGGGGCCCAGGCTTCTCGAGAGCAGGGGGCGTCCTACTCCCTCCCACCCAGCTCTGCAGCGCTCAGCACCTTTCCCTGGAGCAGGGGCTGCGGAGAGACAGCCCCAGCCCCCGTCTCAAACTCTCCTGCAGCTCGGGAGAGCGCCTCTGAGCACCCCACAAGCAGGCTCAGGGGAGCAGGCCGCCCGGGAAACACGGACCGAGGCTGAGGCTTTGACAAGCAAACATCAACACCCACCACCAAGGACCTGAGGAAGGGATGGAGGTGGACACCGCCTGGCCGGGTCAGGGCCTGGGCCACGGGGCACGGCCTGCCCACGGTGAGAAGCCTGCCTTCTCCTGGGCCCACAGCCCTCCACCCCTGTGAGGGGCACAGGCTAAGGGCAGGTGGGACCCCAGGTTCTTCCTCCCTGGGCAGAGGGGGTTGGCATCTTTCATCAGGTCCTGCCACGAGAGCTGGGAATGGGGGGAGGCAGTTCAGGGCCTCCTGTGCCTGGCAGACCCTGGGACCAGCCTCAGGGCACTCAGCCAGGCAGAGGCAGCAGGCACACCACCCGCACCCACCGTGCCAGTCAGGTCTCTGAGTGGAGGGGCGACCGGGGCAGGGACAGAAGAGAGGGCAGCCCTCAGGGCATCCGCGGTGGAGGGCGCCCCGTGGCTCAGCCCCAGCTCGCGGGGTCCTTTGCTCCCACTTGCCCGTGCCCCCACAACCCCGGGTCCCTTACCTCCACCAGGTGGGGTGTCGGGTTGAAGCCACAGAGGTTGCACACCTGGAGCTGGCAGGCGGTGCAGGTGTTGTAGTTGGCTGGGCCCTTGCTGCCCACGTTGAGCTCGGCTTGGCACAGTGGGCAGGTGGGCCTGTCCTTCGGCATGGCCTTTGGCTTGGCAGCAGCCTTGGGCACTGCCTGCTGTTCTGCTCGGCCATGCTTTGGGCTGGGTGTCCCCGCAGTTCTCGCCGGGGCTCCGGGCCCTGATGAGGCACCTGCCCTGGCTGCAGGCTCAGCTTTGGCTCCAGCTGCAGGCCCAGGCCCGGGCCCTGAGCCTGGGGGTCTCGGGCCAGCGTCCTTGCTGGCATCACTGAAGACGATCTTGGGGGGCCCCTTGCTGGAGGCAGGCTGGCCCTGGGCGTCGGCCTCGGGCTGCACGGACATGAGGGTGCTCGCCTGGGTTAGCAGCGACGCGCCGAGGCCAAAGAGCTTCCCGGTGAGGCCCTCCTGGGCCTGATCAGCAGCGCCAGGCCCGGAGGGCACCGCGGTGGCACTTCTGCCCGGGGCCTCTCCCGCAGGGGGCCGGGGCCCGGCTGTGGAAGGCTTGACGGGGTGAGGGGGCTGAGGAGACACCTTCCCCCGCTCAGGAGGGGCAGCTGCCTGGGCAGG